TGACCCAGTGAGAGGGCCCACTCAGCGTGTATTTACTCAGTGACAAGGTGACCCCATGAGAGGGCTCACTCAGCGTGTACTTACTCAGGGACAAGGTGACCCAGTGAGAGGGCCCACTCAGCGTGTACTTACTCAGGGACAAGATGACCCCATGAAAGGGCTCACTCAGCGTGTACTTACTCAGGGACAAGGTGACCCCATGAGAGGGCCCACTCAGCGTGTACTTACTCAGTGCAGATTTTGTTCTGTTTGTAAAACTTGTGCCGCGTAGCAAACAGCCGAGAAATATATTTGGCATTATCGATATCGTCCTTGGAAAAGAACAGACAGGGTAAAAACAAACATCTGTTTGACTGTATATACACTTCACTGTGATCCCTTCTCAGCCAGGACACCTCCCTCTCTCCCTTCATCCCAACCACAAAAGACCACGCTGGGCTGGCAAGCCGAGCTCCCGAAATTCAGCAGCAGCAATGCCTGCAAGCTCACCAAAGGTTGGCGGACATTGTGGTCTGCTAAAGAATCCTTTACCCCCAAGGCGCTGGGGCTGCAGTGACGAACCAGCATGTCTCTACATAATCCCACACCAAGCGCTCCGGAAGGAAATTTGTGCCCCTCCTTAGCCACGGTTTCGCTTTCCGTGGTTTGTTACCCACTGTTAATAGCGGTCTGAAAACGTTAAATGAGTAGCAGGATGGAATCTCGTGTTGTCTCGCTCCGTCCTGCCCTGGGGCCACATTCACATAACTTAGTACAGTATCCTGTTGTAACTGTTGTAGTGTATTATTAGTGATTGCTGTTAATCTCTTACGGTGCCCAATTTATAAACTTCATCATCGGTATGTACATATAGGACACAGCATAGTACATACAGGGTTTGGTTCTCTCCGCGGTTTCAGGCACCCACGAGGGTCTTGGAACGTATCCCACGCGGATAAGGAGGGCCTACTGTACATGAATCAAGGCTGAGCATGGGATAAACACCACATGTCGTTAAATGAGAGGCAGTGAGGTGCACAAACAGTGCTGGCTGTCAAGGAAGCATTCACGGGAAGGCCAGTCTCAGTGTACTTCAGACTCGGCTCGGGCTAGGATGGCAAAGGAAATCCAGGTCCACCAGCACAAGACAAATGCAATGTCACAGAGGCGGGAGTTACCCCACGAGGGCTGGAACTAAGGTACAGAGGAAGGCTGCGTGCCACACAACGCACCCCATCACAAATAAGGCAGCTGGAGGAACCCTGGGCCTAGCGTCAAATCAGCTGGGAAACCGGGTAGTCTGAGCATGATGTTTCACCACCACTATCCTGAAATGAAGGAGCCTTGGTGGCACAGTGGTTAAGAGCTCAGCTGCT